GAATACTGTTCGTTATCTCCATATATTTCATGCAAAGATAAAGAATATGTTCTGAACATCTTTTTCGAAGAATGTACAAAATACTCGGTTTACGACATTCCGCCTCTTGGGACTTGAGACCATGGTAATTTGTTCATGTTTTCTGCGCACGCGCACAATAGGAAGGAGTGAAAATATTTCCGCCCTAGGCCAGACAATAATTTTTTTTCTCTATAAAAGTAGATTTTTTTTAGATCTGAAACCTGCAATTTCATGAAACCTAATATTTTAAGAATGGAACAAAATTTGAATGGGCCATGAGTAAATTCTAATTTTTGTTCAACTTTCCTCATTTTGCGTCACAGTGCCTCTTTAACAGGAGCTTGTTTCTATAGCACGCAAGAGTCCATTTTTTAAATTATTATTTTGAGATTATTTGGCTACTTTTGGTTATCAAAAGTCGGATTAAAGTATTTTCAGTTATTTGATTGTTCAGATTTATTTACGAACCATTGCAGTACATGTACTTTCTATCGCAGCTTAAAGAAAAGTTTTTGTACTTCTCGATAGATGTATAATTGTGACACACCATAGAGCAAAACATCTTCAATCTTTTTATGAAAAGAACTCATTGTTGTATCTCTGTATAACTTATTAACTACCTGAATGTATGAAAAAGTTCTTTGGAAAGATGAAACTCTTTTAGAATATATTGCATTAAATTGCCATACCAAGGGTTATAGAATGCCATCGCATTATATGACAGTTTTTAGATCATGCACCTATCATCTGTTCGAGATGATATCTCTTTGCATACTAAACACATAGCGTAATGTTGGATAGGATAGGTAGTTTGTGTGTAATGTATTCCTTTATTCCAATGTAATCTACAGGAATAACTTCTTGTGAAGCGAGGTAGCCTAATTAACATCATTGTTTAAAAACATTTATCTACGGGTTGGTCACGTGATCAAATCCCATAGGGCTTTATGGTGGATTTGATTACGTACCAACACGTACGTGTATTTATATTTCGATTAATGTTTTTAAAATAATGCCATATTAGTTATACTTCCGTTTGTGACTGATTTATACAAATATTTGCGTATTATAGTTTTAAATGAAAAAAGGTAAAGATGTAACTAACAGTGATCGATATAAAAAAAAATCTATAAACAATACAAATCTGTGAACAAGGCATAAAAAAAAATTACATGTGTATATACTTCGATTTATGCAGAAACACTAAATATGGTCTGTTAACTGATACTAGTATTTGTAGTTTGAGACAAATCTATTTAGGTCTTAGGTTGACTCTGGGGAGCTCTTTCACATTTTACTGACTTTTGAATATATTTTCCTGCTATTAGCTGAATTCTTACTATCCCTGGACTCATGAAATTTTTTCTCGGAGTCTGTTTCCGGTTTTTCCAATGTGGCAATAAATTCGCTTGTTGACATAGCAATAACATTGTCATAAACATCCTCTTCGTCATGACTAAAACGTGAAGACTCGGTGTTTTGGCGGGAAACGGAAATATGTTTGTTGATTGAAGGTCGGTAGGGTAAACTTGGTTTGATTTGTAAATTTGACTTCGTTTTCTTGTGATCAACCTCGATTTCGTTGAATGTTCGCTTGATGACCCAGTTTTTCCGCCATGACCAGGGCTGTCCATAATCCATACTGTAAACATCCGTGTTTGAATCACGATGGATACTTCTTACTTTACATATGACACTGGAACGAAAACAAAATCTCATCTGTAAAACATTTTACCCATCCTAATGCCCTATCACTTCTCTTCGACTGAAAATTTCAACTTGTACATGTACTTACACGGACATAACAATCAGTAGAATCAGACTAGCTCCAGAAACCAAACCGACCAAGACGTAAATACGGGTATTCTGTTCTAAAAATAATCTATCAACATATAAGCTTAAAATATTTCATTAATAAAACTTTTTTTCATAACTAAATAGTAAATATCAACATTTATATAAAAAAAAGATGACAAGTACTTTGTTACCTTCAAATGAATGATGAATTTCCCCAGACGTGGTTCCATAAGTTGAAGACGTGTATTTCGGTTTATCCGATATTGTACTGGCTCTAAACCAAACAGTTGTTTCTGTGGTGCGTATGGTCAACGCCCACGGTGTTGTTATCGTCTTGAACCGAGCCGAGGAATGAACAGGGGGGCTGTGGGTAATGTGAGCCGAAACTTTAGTGGCGATGATCTCGTGGTCAGTTGAAAACTCAGCATGTGTGGACTGGTCAGTTGAGAACGTAGAACGTGTTGATCGATCAGTTGAGAACGTAGAACGTGTTGATCGATCAGTTGAGAACTTAGAACGTGTTGATTGGTGATGGAATATTGGTGAGTTTTTGGAAGTTTCTATCAAATGTGGCCGAGATTGACCTTGCGGCAATGTTAAAGGTACATGTTGTATTATTTGTGTGCCTTTATGAAATGCTGAACTGGACGAAGGAATTGTGGAGGATACAATTAAAGCACTCGTGGTCTCTTTCCTAGAAATGCCTGGAGTTCTGAGGTTAGACTCTATTCCAGGTTTTTGTGATACAGCGATGCTGATATTTGGATTATCAGGGACAATATTATCTAGAATGTAAAATATCACCAATGAATAAATAAATGAATAAATAACTAGTCTCTCACCAAGTCGATGTATTACTTGCGAGGAAATCATGGCAACAATGTCTAATTTTGCAATTTTATAATCGTAACAGTCGAAAAAAGGAATCATCAGTAATAATTAAAACAATTTTAAAATATGTATGGTTATCTTGATTCGACATATTATGTAGCTGTGCCCAACATCATAGAGGAAACATCAAACTATACTGACCTATTTTTGGTTTTGCTGATTTTACCCCAATTTTTATAATAAGCCGATGCTTCGTAAAAATATTCTGTCCATAATTATAGTCCCCGTGTGGAATAAAAAAGCAGAGTGCCTTTCCCTTGAATTGGTAAGCTCGACCAATGGAAGACATTAGCAACTCGAATCGCTGTTTTCTATCTTCACAGACAGACACCTGCAGTTTGTCCTCGACTTTTGTTTTTACTATCCCAAAACCGTTATAAACAAAAGAGTCGTGGCTGCTAAGAACAAGTTTGTCTACCCTAATGGTAAAATTCACGACCCCAGACATTGTAAGCAGGTTAAGCTGCCACGCACAGTTTTTGCTTTGAAAGTCTGACCAAGTTGTGTCCCAAGAAACATTTTGGTAGGAGACTCCAATGGTGATGTTCTGGCTTTCAGGACATCCGTTAGATCCATACACTGTGATATGAAATAGACACAGGGAGTATCTATTAATTTTTTTTCAACAATATACAAAATCTTTTGCTTTTCAAAACTTCGAAAGAAAAATATATACAATGGAGATACCAGAGAGCGTAATATTTATATTTTTAAAGCCTTCATTGATTTTTTGAGTCGCTGATACTCTTTTAGGATCCTAAAGTTACCTTTTGAAATCAGTGAATATAGTAAACCCAAACAAAGAGTCGCCAAACCTGCCATGGTATACTGTAGTGTTTGAATTATGACGTCACATATTTAGCTCTGATATCATTCATATACACCTGCATTATATACAAATATGTATAAGATAGAGACATTGTTCGTGATCATCATCGAGATAGTATATTGTTATTTATTGTTAAGAACTACGTCTAAATTGAAATTTAATCCTAACATGCATACTTCTCTCAGACATGTCAAGCCATGTTCAATTTCATGATTCAGATACAAATAATTGGTTTAATATACAATCAAGCAACTGAAAATACTCACTATGGCATTTTATTCTTTTTTTTTAAACAACTATCTTCGTTTTATGTAAAGAATAAATAGTGTTAACGTATAGAGTTTCCATAACATCTTTGCAAAATGTTTCAATTTGTAATTTTGGATTGGTGTTAAAACTTCTCTGTAGGTGTAACAGAGGTTGCTATAATTCGAAATCAGTCGAAAATCAACTTGTAAAACACTTTAAAACCATTCCCGAAATTGCAAATGACAACTTTACAGTAAAAAGATGGCGAACAAGGCGATCATAATGCCTTTGGTGCGACAAATAAGAAATTGAAAAATTAAATCTTAATTATAGCAAAACTTTCTTTGGTATTTCATCTAACATTAACGCATGCTTTATGTAGAATCTCCACAATTTGCCAAAATCTCAAAAAGATTGAATTTGTCCATGAAATTTTCTCATACTATAACACAATTTTTCCATATGAGTTTGTATTCGCTCCATTTTCTGAAAGTTTATCCTCAGAGAACATGTATGTGTTAAGATAAACATTTTTTGGTTAACAAAACATGGAGCAATGACCCATTATACCCTAAAATTACACTTTTATAAACAACATTCGTATCTTTCCGAGAATTATTTGAAATCCGTTTAGTCAAGGGTTCCTATGCAGTCGATAAGATGAACAAAGAAAGAAAGTCAACTTATGAATTACCGTATAGCCTATTTGGGGTGGGGTGAGGGGGGGGGTGTATAGATTCACCAAAATTATCGTTAAATTTAGACTTTTATTTATATACTTTGGTTGGCACTTTACCAAGAAAGTATCTTAGGTGATGTCTTAGAAGTGCTTTAGGTGCACAAAACTTGGATTGAAAGAAGTATTTAGCCTTCATACCTTAGAACATTTTTTTTTTGCCAAAGCTGATCAAACAAGTAACATATGTACAATAACAATGCATTCCAAACATATGGAATAGGATTCACATAAGGAATATTCGACAATTTAAATGGTATACCTTGTATACCAAATTTTTGCCAAATTTGTGACCCGCCAAAAACCAGCTTTATAATATTCAATGGTATGTATATTTGAATTAAAAATTTTGTTTTGTTGTGTGTTCTTTTTTCACTTTTTTTTTATTTTTGAAGATTCATTGCATACATAAAGAGCTCAGTAAAAATATAATTCACCACTATAAAAAAAAAAATTATAAATTTGAAAGTTATACAATTATTTTCTAGGTTTGGACAAATCCCCTCTGTCTCTATGGGCCGTGTACCTATGAGGGAAGTCCTCTGGTGAGTTCCGGTTGCCAGTAAATGTAGAATATTCACCATAATGTGACCGGGAATTTAACGCTGACACCCCCATCTCAGGGTACGAATCCTGATTTTGCTCACGTGGAGATGATACGGGACTTTCATCGGTATTTGATTCCGAGACCTTCCGAATGTGGATGTATGTTTCCCTTAAAAATCCACTCGGATCCTCAAGGATGCCATCACTTGGGTTAACGATGTCAAACGAAGCGATGGAGGGTTCTGTTTTTGTCACATGTCTTGTTTTGTACAATAATCTGAAGAGAAATAAAAACATGTTATTATTCTGCAGGTATATAGCTATACTATTTTTACTTCTATTTAAAAAGAAAGTTAACTGTCTAATTTGTTAATTAATTTTGAAGAAATATTCATGCTAAGTAAAGATGTTTTATGCAATCGGTATTTTGAAAATACCATCAATCATTTTGAAAATCCATCCTCGGTAAAATAAAATACAAGGATTGTCCCATAAAACCTCGAGCATTGTTCATATCATAATGTACGTCCAATAAATATGGAACGTTAGAAGTGATCAAAGTTCTAAAAGTTTTATTACAAAATGACAAAGACGGGAAAATATTCTATGATTTTTCATAATTTGTATTTAATGAATCCGTAAATTTTTGTATTTTATGGGGTATAATGGATCTTAAATTGCACAGATCTATTAGATCTAACATTGTTTTCAGTGTCAAAATTTGATTCATTATTTGGGGAAAAAATTGGAAAATATACGATGAAAGAAATGGAGTGTTAAAGTAAGTATATTACTATATGATTCTAACAGATGCGTATGTAATTTAAGAAAATTAATGATAACGAAAACCAATGGGTAATCTTTTTTGTGAATTTATCTACGATAAAAAACAGTGTATATGGGTCATTAACAGAGACTTACAGAAATGCTGGAAAACTTTGATTATTCTGCTTTTTTCCCCTTTTCTGTACAATATCTTTGTGGAAGATATATTATAAAGTTTTGATCTCCATTTAAAATTAAGTCTTCAAATTGTCAGAGTGAGAGAAAGCTGCACATTTTACATTTTGTTTAAAAAAAGACTAACATTTGACAAATACACATCAAATATTTTTTTATCATCAATTTATGGTTGATGACGCATACTGTATACAGGGAAATTTTCGCCCCAGTTTTATTTTCGAACCTTTCGCCCTACTCATGGGTGCGCAAATTTAAAACGGGGCGAATTCAAAGTATACGGTATAATTTCTTAAAATAGAACTGTGACCGGGCAAATTTAAAATGGGACAAAATTGCTTGCAAATGTGAAAGGGCGAAAATAACCCTGTATACAGTATTGTTTCCTTGTGTTTCAAATGTGTTTGTGTGTGTGAGAGAGAGGGCGTTAAAGGTAAGGAGATGGGCAATTCGAAATATAGAACATTCCGAGTTTTCCCACTGGTGACTAGATGACGTTTATCCTGACGCACCTGCCGATCAGGAACAACATGACAGACACGACCAACACTGATATAGAAACAGTGACTGCCAGGGCTATGTCCATATCTTTCTGACCTGTAAAGTATACAAAAGGTGATAAATCAATACCAAATATTACTAAGTAAATCGCTAAATTTTGATGTTTGAAGCATAAAATATCTTAATACATTGTCACTTTTGTGCTGTAAGCCAAGAAAACCACGATGCTTCAAGCATGTAACACTGCATCAAATTTTAATGTTCTTTGCGAAGCACAACAAAACAAAATTATTAGGTCTAAACTTTAAAATTTCTAGCATATGAATTAACTTACTTATTTTTCTGTTGTTTTTTGAGGGAGAAAATGTTTTGCTTGATTCACAACATGATGGAGTTGCTGAAAAAAAAAGAATTTGATGAATCAAGTGATGCTAAAAAGTCTGAATAGAAAAAAAATATCTTTATTATTCTGAAGGTTAGAAAAATAAAAACATGCGCATATTAGATGTGGTAAAATCAGTACCATTTTCTGTGAGATCTGTGTAATTTGACATAGGGGACGAAGTGAAAGTTTTCCATTGAGTTGTCTTATTGGATGTAGAAACTGGAGGACTCCCGGGGTTTAGTGTGGTTATACTTGATGTTGAAACACGAGGACTCCCGGTGTATACTGTGTTCATATTGGATGTAGAGACACGAGAACTCCCGAGAGATGCTGTGGTTATATTATCTGTTCCATTGTCTTTAGGATTTTGGGACGTAGTTGATGTAAAAGAAAACTCTAAATAGAAAAAAAGGAAAGTAAAGAAAAGGAGAATCATAATTATATTCTTTTCATGCATTGATGTGGTTCCATATCAGCTGAATTGTAAGGACGCCATGAGAAGCCATTTTATTAAATCCAACAAATGTAGTTTAACGTTGTTATAAAGATGATTTTACATGTACATACCTTCAAAACAATTTGATATATCATCATCACAAATATTTTCTCTGTTATCTATGACAATTAATCGGGTGTAATTAGAATGATTTCTACATGATTTTTTGACGCTGAAAGAAATACTTCTATAGCCAGTCATCCTACACTGTTTCATTTGTAAACGGTTCTTGCACTTTATTGTTCCATTTTGCAAATTAGATAAATCTTCTTCCGGAACAATGGTTAGATCACATTCTTCAGAACATATGGAGCCGACACAAACATTTGTTGTGTTTATCACGTAAATAAAAGAAGTCTCGTTTTCTCCGACAGTGGACAAAAATCTCCAGCCCTTGATATCATCTGCACTGAAGACAAGTTTCTGGGAGCGAGAGAAGCTTGAGGAAATCATGTCTGCAAATAAAGAAAAAAGTATATCCTAAATTAACACATATTACATGTATTAAAAAGGGGCATAGACATATATTTGAAGTTAATATTTTCTTAAGTTTTTAATATTATATAGTTTCAATAATTTCCAGATAAAATAATTTTTTTTAATTATATTTCCGTGTGAAATGCTATAGCAACATATGAGTCATGATATATTACAGAAAATTTGAGAAAATACTAACTTCAAATCTGTGTCTATGTCCCTTTAATATATAATTATATTTTTTTTTCTACTGGAATTAAGAGAAAAGAAGGTTGCAATAAAAAAGAAGGAGGAAGAAGGAATAATAACTTACAGAATTTCATTAAAAATGTGAAAATTATCCAGCACACCATTATTTGATTCGTGATGTTTGTTTCTGTTTCAAGGGAGCTTTAAGAGAAGGCAGGTGCCATTATCGTGTCAGATACCACACCGAGACAGCAAACTATAGATAGTCAAAGCAAAGGAAAAGTGTATGCTGTATATCCTTATTCAGAAAATATCTTAATCGCTGTATACACATGTAGTTCTCATGGGTCATGACTTCCTTATTTTAAAAAAGCAATTATTACAAAATATTTTCTCAGAAAAACTAATTATTGTATCACATTAGCGTACCACCTTTCAGCAATAAAAAGCAAGATATTGGCATTTTACTGACAACAATATTTTAAGATCGCATAATTTTATTATAATCATAATAAAATGTCTCCACATTTACCTCATCAGTCCGTAGGAAACAAAAATACTATAGAATATTTACGTCGAGACGTCCTTGGTGTATTTATATAAGATCACAAAAAATACAATTTTATTGTAACATGATATGACTTTTTCGTGGTAAAGTAATTTTTAAAAAGAAAAAATAACGAAATTTTAAACGATAGATACAAGAACTGACATAGAAGCAAATTAAACAGGGGGCAGATCAAATTTACATATAACCTTCTTTTGTGAATTGAAGAAAAAGGAATTCGAGTTCAACACATTATATAAGTCTGTTTCGGGTGAATTCCATTATGGCAGGCAAGACAGATGAGGACCCTTTCATATAACTGCTCCTCCGCCCGTAAACACGTCCAGTTTCGGATTTGAAGCAGGACATTTCTCGGAAAAAATACATCTAATTTAGAAAGTCTCCTTTCTAGAGCATTGCTCTTCTGGGATATAATTTCCTTCAAAAAATCCAATTCATATGCATATTTACAATCATTATGGTTACTTTAGGTGATCATGCATGGAATTTTTTTTAACCTGTATTTACTCTCAGGAAGAAAAATCTTGTCTACTAAATAATTTCTATGCTACTTATTTTGACATGAAATGCAAATAAATATTTCATGTTCATTTATTCACTCAAAACCATCTAAAATATATGGTACATGAGGACAATGAAAAATATTTACAACATATAAATTCCGGAATTTATATATATATATATATATATATATATATATATATATATATATATATATATATATATATATATATATATATATATATATATATATATATATATATATATATATATATAATTTTTTAAAACAAAATCAGACATATAGGAGATAATCTCTATTCCTATTAATGTTATCATTAAGATTACGACAAAATATTTTTAAAAAGTTTTTGCATGATGTGAAACTGATGCTTCAAAATGAGACAATAGGTTAAAAGTTATTCGCATCTTAAATGTTTATAAAATAATATATTTTTTGTGAAATATTTTTCACAAAAGCTGTTACATTCTCTTCAAAAAATATTAATACATAATCGGTATAGCAAATAGCTACCAGATAAGGAAAAAATAACGTCTCCATACATTTCTGTTTTGGATACGTAAGTTTCCATAGACGAATTTTGTCATTTCATAATTTTTTGTGTGATGTTAAAATGTTGACCAGTGACTTGTGAGTTGTAAGTTGACATAATTATCTCTCACTTTAATATACTATAGTAATTGTCTGGTATATTAGTTGTGTCTCGAAAACATGGTCACATCCAGACTTTGTACATTTTAATGGAATTGAATTTTTAAAGTTCTTGCACGCTGACATTAGAATATAAGTATTTAGCATGTTTTACATAATTATCTTGAATGTTGCGTCTTGCTTGTCATCTGAAGAAAATTAATAATCATTTAGGGGAAAAATATGCCACCAATATAATCGACCCCAGAACTGACATCTTACTGGTTGGGAGCAACCTAATTGTGCCAATATACCAGAAATTATGCTAATACGCATTCTATCTATGTCAACATGCACCTTATTGCTACTGTGTGGATACTGCATGTGTGTTTGCGGCACCTTATTTTTGCAAAATAGTCATTTAGTATTTAGAAGCGTGACAAAATTTTCACGAAATTTGCTAATTAAGGTCTTCCGTCACAACGGAAGACCTTCTACTGATTCTGATGGTTAAGATTATAATTCTTTTTTTTTTCTTCTCCTTTCTAGACGCCAACTTTGAGGCCTCATATCTCGCTCATTTCTCAACGGATTTTGCTCAAATTTGCAGGGTTTATAGACGTTACAAAACTCTATCAGAATGCTGTCAAACATGTCAAAAATCTACTTCCGCTTTTGAGTTATCTCCCTTTAAATGAAAATTTAGGACTCTTCATTTCCGGATAAAGGCTCCGAGACTACAAAAGCTGGAGTAGAAATTCTACCGAATTTAAATAATAGAAGCATTGAAGTTGTGCACATCTATTTTTGTTTTTTGATTTCTGTGTTCAAAATGGCGCTAGATAGGGGTAAAAAATTAGAACGCCTAAAAGCGCGAAAATTTACACATATTTTCCTATGTATCTTTTAAACTAAAAATATTTTGTTAAGACATGTTGAATAAAAGCTGAGCACAATTTTAAGGTCTTTCATTTGGCACCTCCAAAAAGGGGCTGGTCCCTTAAATTAGGGATCTAGGGTCCTTGAAAGTTTTCGTTTTATAACTCAAAAACGGTAAATATTTCGATATAGCTGTCGCTAAAAAAGTTGTTCTTTAACATATTATTGATCTCATGAACTTGTTATTTTGTTCGAGTCTTTTTTAATAAATGAGCTAGAAGCTTGACCCATATACAGGTAACTAGTTTCATTAGACAAGTGAAGGTGAAATCTTTATGCGCATAACTGAAATAAACTTGCTATAAATGATAAATCTATCCATAATAAATACTAATACTACTTTAAAATAAGTTTTTACGTGTTCTGTGGTTTCATTCCAAATTATTGAGTCACACATTTTCAATACGTCTCGGGGTTTGTTTTTGTTTATAATTACGTAACCGGCCATCCCCCGATCACGCATGACCTAGATCCAGTGATCAGTGGCCATACACTAAACAGGCATTGCTGTTCTAAATCTATTTTGCAAACTCAACTATGTACGGATAATTGTTTTTTTTTTTAGTCAAATCGGATCTTTCAAATTATTTCATCTTATCTATGTTGGTCATGTTGGTGATATACTTATTAAATTATTGTGGCCGAAATTACAGGAGATCCATTGCGTGTGAACCAGCGACCTGCGTTCGTAAACAAAACATCTTTTCGTCGTTTAACGTTGAAACATACACTATATTTAATTTTTAAAAAAAAAAGTTAGCAAAAAATAAATCAGTCTTTAACTGCATTTAACTGCGTTTCACATATACCCGGATTTTGTGTTTGTTTATGTAACCTAATTATGTAGCCGAGGAAGCAGCTATTAATGCTCATACACAAAACATTGTCGTTCTATATTCATTTTGCTGACACAATGATTTACGGAAAATTATTTTTTAAATCATACCGGATCATTCAATTAAGTCATTTATTCTTATCTTAATTTGATTTAATTTAAATCCAAAATATTTTATTAAGGACGTATAAAGGTCCCCGATTTCATGAATCCTAATCTTTAAACTGCATACATGTATTTAATAAACGATTTATTTCTCAATTATGTGTTATTATGTGTTTAATTTCGGAGATTCATTGCGTGTGGTTAATTCTGCAGATAATTCTAACTTGACACACAAGGTTTGTAGACAAAGAATTCAAAAGAGATATATTTTGAAAACAATAAGACGCATTGCTAAACACTTTTACATTATTTTCCTTTTAAAATGGCTATCTTTATGATTACACCAACTTTTAACATGCTATGTGAAAAACTCTGTCGACTATAGTTTTGTAACTCCAGCATATGACAAGTACATGTGCTTTTTATTAAACACCCAATTTTCCATTAACGCCCACAAAATCTACCTAGCGTAAGATCGATAACATACCGCCCGACAATCATACAAAAATAAAACAATAGCTGCTGATTTGATTGACAGGCCAGCAACCTGCGCTACCTGATACTGTAGTCTGAGTTTGCATGTTTTGAAAGCAATTACACGTACCTGGTCACGCGTCAAACGCTTTCATGTACCGCTTGAAAAGTCGCTTTGTATACACTCTGGTAAAAACTTATATCTTTGTTGGTAATTATGTTTCACAAAATAATTGAGAGAAGAGAATTAAACTTTGAGTTCATTATTTTTATTTTCACTGCTGTTTTGTACACTGTACTTGTACGCGATATGTCGTCCAAGATAACTGTACAGCTTTCCGAAGAAAAAAAAACTGGCGGCTATTCGAGCCCCTTTTCGCCTTCAATGTCCTCTTCAAAACACACCTGTTTACAGAGAAGAGATCATAATATTCAATAAAATATTTCATATTATATGTAATCTGATTTTGTATGTATAAGTATCTGAAAGGCTATATTGTGCTGAATTTTTTAAAATACATGTTTTATGTAATACATATTTTTTAGCATACGATAAAATATCGCCAACACTATAAGATTAATTATTCTAATGTCCAGAACTGTGTAACGTAAATGCCATGCATTTAAGAAGTATGTTAACTTTTTATAATTTAATTACACTTGCAAGCGCGGTTCAAAAAAAAAAATGTACAAGGAGTACATATACATGGACTTGAAT